GAACAAATCAAATGAAGGTTAAATTCTGTTCATAAAATAAAAATAAATGCCAAAAATTCTAACCAAAGATGTACAGTTAAGCAGAAATGGGATTCTAAGCAAAATCTTTGACAAAAAGTTAGTAACTTCTAGGGCCTATCACCGATGTGATTCGATCTAGATACCTCATGTACATCAGCCATGTACTTTATCTACACACCACGAACACCAATGGCTAAATATCGTATCGTTGTGGAAATGGTGTTCCGGTCCCCCACAACCCGGTGACGTCAATGCCGGGTGCCTAAGTAATCCACATTCGGTAACCAGACGCGTATCCTCTAATCTGCGTTTTTTTTTTTTTTTTTTTTTTTATAAAGCAAATAGGCCTTATTTACTTATAAAAGTTATAACCAAACAAATTGAAAAAAAAACCAAAGTTAACTTAACTAATTTCAAATAATAATAGGCCTAAGTTAATACTATCTATTTATTTATTTATTTATTTATTTATTTCCCAACGGTTTACACCAGTTTACAAGAATGTATACAATATTAAAAGATGGCAAAATACATGCAACAGTGAGTGGTAACAGCAAGAACATAATTAATGAACAAAAATTAACAAGTAACAAGTAATAGATACTATATAATAACAATCTTGAATAACAATAACAATAGCAATAACAAAAATAACAAAATAGACAAGGAAAGACGATAAGTTAACAATATAAATTAGAAGCAGTGAAGATAGTTTTGGATAATAGTACAATGTGGCAAAAAATTTGATTTTACAAAAAAAAAAACATGACATGAGAGGTGATACTTGGCAGCAACAACAGGAACGATTAATTCGACTAGAGCTAAGGAAGGTGAGATTCTACAGTTAGTGACTAGAATTATTATCACATAAGCAGGGAGGCGACCTTTCTCCGGAACGAGGACAATGAGTCGTGGAAGAAGTCCAGGTGGATTGCGACATCACTCCCAGTACGTAGAAGTCTCGAAAGGCCGCTGTTAGCTGCATAGTAGGTGGGTTGGTAGCGTCTACGGAATATCGTTTTGGAACGGGTTCCTGTTGGTATATGCAAGTGGATGCCGCAGAGTAGATCCGGACAGTCCAGGAGCCCATTAACCAACTTGAAAAGTGTCAGTAGGTCCGAGTGTTGCCGCCTCACGTGAAGAGGGGTGAGGCCAAAAAGAGATTCGACCTCACTCACAGGAGTACGTAGGTAGTCAAACCCAAGCCTACATCCAAGAAGTCTGACGAAGCGGCGCTGGATGCTTTCCAACTGGTTAATGTGGTTCAGTTGATGAGGGGACCAAATTGTGGAACCATACTCAAGTATTGGACGAACAAGGGCTTTATATAAGGTCACGAGAGTAAGGGGAGAGTTGAAACCCTTTGTTGATCTTAGGATGAATCCAATCATGGAGTTTGCTCTTGCAGTGATGTGCGTAATGTGCTCCATTGGATTTAGAGATGGACTATCTATAACCCTCTAAGATTTAGCCAATACATAGTGTAGGCTAATTGAGTTAAAACTTTGATATTCAAATTCATCGCCTCATATTACTATTGGTGTTTACAAACAAGTCAATCTATTGATTACCGGTACCTAAGTTATTTCACCTTCAATTAGTTACGGTAATCATATAGCAATAATGGTACATTCATTGAGTAGACCTAGGCCTATTTAATGTAAAACAAAAGTAAGAATGTAATGCATAATACGCTATGGTTGACGCGCCGAGACCCTGAGTCCTTATCTAACCCAACCCAACCACAATGCAATAATATCATTGTTTTAAATTATTTAAAAGTGTTATTATCATTAGTCGTAGAATCAAATCCAATCGACAAATTATAAATATGAACGACTAAGATTGATTAGTAAGAACAAAGTAGGCCTAACTTACTTATAGACTAAATTTTGTGTAGGCTACTTCAATGTGTATCGGCAATCAAACTGTCGATGTGTTCACATTTTGTGTTTTTCATACTAACCGATTAAACTGTCAGCACATGCAGGAGCCCGGAACATTCACATTCGAAGATAATGTGTGTTTTTAATAACTTAGCTGATTTGTTGTCACGTCAATTTATTACACGTTCTTATTAGAATATTTTGAAATAATGCCTTAGGCCTATGCAAATATTTAAATAAAATGAATAATGTTAAACTCTACTCTTTGACAAGCAGTCCTGATCATTCAAGACCCCAGCATGATTAATATTGACTACAATCATACCGATAATTAAGTTAATCTTTTATATTTGTTTCAGGGCAAAAAGTGCTGCTGTCGCAACCATCAATGATTAGGATTGGAGTGAACGAAGAAACATTTATTTCCATTTTATTTGATTTTATAAGTTTTTGTAATTTCTTTACATAATTTGGTTTTAACTTGCATAGAATATAATAAATAGTTTTGTCTAAACTTTGAGTTTTTATCCACCAAAAGTTGAAAAATAGATTTATTTTTTAATGTAAAATTTATAGTTGAAATAGATAACTGAACCAGACACTTTGTGTGTCACCAAAGATTGCGGCTTTTCACTGTTTTAGTCAAATAATCGTAATGTCCAATTGTACATAAATCGAATTACAGTTTTATATCAAATTGATCATCAATTGGACTAAATATACACATCAATGTTTGTGACGTTTGTACATTCATTGAACATTAAATAGTCTCAATTTGTACAAACATGAATGTGCATATGATGTTCACTAGATGTCCAATTGAATCTTAATTTAACCTAAATTGAATAACAATTTGATGTAAAATTGATCATCAATTGATCGAGATACGCGCTCATCGGTACGATCGAGATATTGATCGTGACGTTTGTACAATAATTGAACGTTAAATAGTCGTAATTTGTACAAACATGAATGTGCATACGATGTTCAGTTGAACATTCTTGAACATCAATTTAATGTTCAATTGATGTATGTGTTATATGGGTAGGAACATATTAAAACAAATGTTAAAACATATGCAAACAAATGTTATGTAAACGGTTAAGGCCATTTACCAATAAAAAATATAGACATATGGAATATCAAAATGAAGCTTAGAGTGTGTAGATTTTCTGAAAAGTTTTGATATGGACAAACTCCCTAAGAGGTCTGCCCCACAGACTGATTTCCAAAGGGCTACGCCTTGCATGTTTTGGAAGTTAACGTTATTTGAGTAATTTACTGAACAACAGCTGGCCAATGCAATTTACAATATAGTTTGTTGGTTTATGTTCTTAAAAGAGGTGCGGTGAATAGACAGTGAAGCTATCTCTAGCCGTTTGATACAAGTGAGTGTTTAAAGGTGTTCGAAACACGATGAATATGAGATTAACAAACCATGTATGTCGTTCGTTCCAAGAGGTTGTAACCGATTTTTAACAGGTCGCCATTTCATTGACAAGTATTTAAGTAAAGTATTAAAGACGTGAAAGAGAGCGGCGAGTTCAGGTACAACCCTACCCACCTTAGGACGTAAGGTTTGAAGGCTCCAATGCTTTTTTACCATCCTTTCAGATGACAATTTCTCGAACTTGGGCCCTTTAAATGAAATATAAAGTCAAAGTTGAATTAATTTAATGGTGGCTTCTGTACACCCGTGAATTTGCGGGTAGAACCTCTTATATTGTTAATAGCAGTTTTCTTAGACTTAATAATATATTTTATCTAACAAAGTAATGTACCGGTAATGTCAAATCTGACGTGAGAAGCGAAGAGAGGATGATATGTTGTGTAAGTGCCGTATCTTTTCCTGCAATTTCGTTGATCCTTTTTATTCCAAAAACTACAGTTTGAAACTATTTTATGCCAAATTTATTTTCAAAGTTAAGGTAAGTTTTTTGGATCTATTGTGACTCATACAAATTAGTTGGGGTCTATTATTGTTTTCAACTTAGGATTGTTGTTATCTTGCACTAGGCCTACATATATCATTATTCTGGTGGAAAGGTTGGTGAGATTTACATCCCTGGGTAAATCTTGACACCATCTTTGACCAAATTAAATTATTTGTACAGGAATATTATAGTAACTTAGCCTACCCGTTATAGCTTGCCTATATTCGATTAGGTACGTTAGGTGTAGCCTACCTATACATTATTCAAAATTATTTATTGGGAGGATACAACTTAATAAAAAAAGCAAGACTTGTCCGCTATAAATTATCAATAGTGCTGATTTATTAATGGCATTCTTAAAAATTAACTCCAAGACAGAAACTGGCCTAAGTTAATATAAATTGGCTTTGGAACCGTAATGAATGAAAATGAATGCCTTTGAACCAGTCTTTAAAAGCTAAACGAAAAAGGGACCTAAATAAACCATTTTTTGCCAAGTTAACCAATCATTTCAAGCTAAAGATTTCTATTTCAACCGGTATATTTAACATAATTGATAAATGATTGATCTTATTTCATGGAAGCCCCTGAGTCTAAGTTTGGCAATGTTTTTGTAAATAGAGTTTAAGCATGGTATAAGTTAATACCTTGGATAAAGAACACTCAAACTGATTAATTTTTATTTATGTTAATACAGTATGAGTATGTTCCCATAGTGAGGGATTTCGCGGTATATTCCATATACACAACACACTGTCAATTTTTTTCAAGTGTCTGTCGTAACATAACCACAAACCAACCAGTCCGATTACGATGACGTAAACGTACGACTACGATGGGCAAATATCGATTGTAGTAGGATCTATCGATTATATCGATAGTTGGCGACTGACGACTCGAGTACTCGACCGAATCAACGATGACGTCATGGCCTGCTGTGCTCTCTAAACAGCGCTGTTCACGGAGGAAATTTGAACTAAATTTGCCTCATTTGTACCTCCCTTCAGTCAGACCCGGCTAGTCCAATTCCTGCCTTGAAACGCTCGCCCTATGCCCAACTTGTGCTGCACTCTAGTGAAGATATTTTGAACCAATTTTGTTGTAAGCCAATCATAGAGCGAGCTCTTGTTCTCGAAGGAGGGGGAAGTTGTTGAGAAGATGGTGCGCCATAGGTTAGTTTCAGTCGTGTCGGCTTGTGTTTTCGTTTGTGATTGTTCAGTGATATTAGGTAAAAACACATGTTATTAATTGATAATTGGACTTTCCATTCATAGATCTCTCTTACCATATCATGATTTTACTTCCTTGACACAGTTTTAATTCATTAAAACCCGTTTTTTCTAGTCCCACCAAACACATACCTGGCTGATCAAAGTTGCAGTAACTTAGTGGTTTGTTTATTTACGAAAGTTAATTTTTGACTTAGTGAAGATTTCCTTCCCACAGATAAAGCCCTTACAGGTTTTAATAATCCTTATGCCATTTCAATTCTATTGGAGTTAAGTTATTTATGGGAAAGTTAAGAAGGCCTATTAAATTGGTCCGTGTCTCTAAACAAAGGTTGGTGATTTTGAAAATAAGTCTTTAGCCTACTAACATAGGCATTCATTGGCTTCCTCGAAGGCCTAGCATTATGTATACTGTGCCTAAAAGAAACTATAAACCTAGGAATACAAACTGGTTTTCCAACATGTTCTGTTTGGATAAAAGTGTGTTGTGTGTCATAGTGTTTACATATTTTCAAGTGATGGGATTATTTATTAGTGGTGTTAATAGTGACAGTATAAATTGTAGTAGTGTCAGGCAACTGTTTGAGAGCAGAAAAATGAACATCACAGATGTGCTGAAACAACCTCTCTCAGGTGAGTGATTACTTAAAACCTAACTTTTTGGGAATTTGTCTTAACTTAAGTTAGGCCTATGCAACTTAATCTTAAATTATTCGCTGTCGACAAAAAAATGCAAGTTTTACATAATTGTTTACTATATAGGTTGAACAACTCGCTATTAACTTCCTAGGTTAATTTGGTTACAGTAGTCGATGAGAAACGAAAGAGAGAGTACCGTAGGCCAACTTATTTACCATAACTTGCATGCATTCAGATTTAAAGGTACCATAACCTATCATGTTCATCAAAGTTCAGCTTTAACTTACCAAACAACATAAGTTAAATTAGGCTAACTTAAGTTAACTTAGCCTAGGGCCTACCTACTTAGGTAGGTACCTATCTTAAAATAGGCCTAGCTTACTCACAACTTTGAAACATCTAAACTTACAGCCTTTTGTGATATTTTTCACTTAGATTGCGGCCCTTTAAAAATGTGCCTTAAAAGAGATTTGTGATATCAAACCACAGATCACTTTGAGATTAAGGGTAGACTTCTGTAACTTAACTTATCTGTTGGCACAAACAACCGAATTATAATATCGATCAATATATTGATTATTCGATAGGTAGGGTCAACCGGGGCTAATATGAACAAAAAAAGTAAACTTTTGACATTAACTCAAAAATGGTAAATGACAGAAGAAAAGAAAAAATAGTAGTGTATAAGGTACAGCTCTTTTAGCTGAATCTATTTATTTACTAACAAAAACCATAAATGTAACCATTATTAAAAAAAAAATAAAAACCACTGTTCACATTAGCCCCGCTAAAAGGGGCTAATATGAACACTCTTAATAACTCTGTTATTTACAACACTAGGCATATGTGGGGGCTGTTGTGAACAAGCCTAGGGTCTAGTCTACCAGTTGCAATAAGTCTCAATATTTTATCTTAAATAGTTTTTGAGATATGAAGGTATCTTTGGAGAGCCGCGGGTCGCCCTACGGTAACCATTTTTTTTAAAACCATTTATAAATATTATACAGGGCTAATAATTAGATATAAACAAGAAAAAAATTGTCTGTCAACATACCTGAGTATTTATTAAAAAATTTTTCCACATACAAATTGTTTAAAGCACTTAAAAAAACAATAGCCTAAGTTAAGACAATGCAAATTGTTCGTTTAGGCAAATGACAGTTTATTGCACTTTTAGGCCTATTAGGTAAATATAAAAATGTGGGCTAGGCCTATTCAACACCTTAACTGTTGTCTTTGTAAAATTAAAACTGTTTTATCACTGTAAGGCCTTCAAAGAAGTTTATTGAGGAACTTACGCCTCAAAAACTTCGACAATTTTGTCGAAGACATACTTATGTCTATCACTGGTTCCGCATACATTAGGGGCTGGAAGTTTCCCCAAAATGTCAGTGGTAGAAACAATAAATATATCATCTTCTTTTTTCAGGAATGATTTTTTTTTCCTCATCACAGGATTTAAATCCCATCACTTCGATCTCCCCGTCAGCCAGTGTTTTTAACACTGTAGCGACATAGCGGAAGGTGGTACTGTTCACAATAGCCCCCATTCACTGTTCACATTAGCCCCCCAACTTTGAAAGCTTATAACTTTGGCTGTTATTAATATATTTTAACTTTGGGAAAAGAAAAATAATCCCCAATTCTTATTTAACAAAATTCAGGCTTAAGATTATTCCTACAACCAATGTAAAAATTGTTATAACAAAAGTTTTCACTTTGCGCGGAAAAGTTTTTTGGGCGGAAAAAAAGTTTTTTAACAAAGTATTTTTTTAAGTACCTAAAAGTCAAATTTGAAGTTTTCTCATTATGGACACAAAAAATACAATAAATTTCCTTTCTAATTATATTTTTTTCATGATTAAAAATCCCAGATAAATGACTTTTTAAGTCATTGTTCATATTAGCCCCAATATTTTGGTGTGTTCATATTAGCCCCGGTTGACCCTATCGTTTTGGTTGGTTATGTAAGGTTAACCTATCCTAACTAAACCAAATGATACCTAAGTTACATCGATTTTTTGGTTGTTTGTGCCGACAGATACGGAAGTCTACCCGAGATTAAATTACTATCAAAGCCTAAGGAGGTTTGATCGCGTAAGTTTTGCCAGTTCGATCCTGGAAAGCTAAACACATTTGACTGGTTTCGAAACTGAACTAGACCCAGCTGTTCTGGGTCTTAGCAAAAGAACCAGCTGATCTTGGTACTGTAACAAAGCTGTCATCTCCTTCTTTAACACTCGTCGTTCAAATCATAATCTCTACTATCGTACAGTACACAAATAAGTTCACCAGAGGCAGTAGGGTAACTTATAAGGTTGCTACATGTAGTGCTCATTGTCAGCAATATGATAACTTAATAATACGAGGACACGTAGCCTATATGCACAAATTGCACATTTTAAATAGGGTTCGAAACTTGATTCTGAGGGCAAACAAATTTAAAGCAATTACACTTCAACTGTTCAAAGATTGTGTTTGTTTTAGATACCGGTATTTAAATATTAAGTTAGGCAGGCAAATAAAATATCTAAACTTTCGCAATAAAGATTTACCCACCACTTTATTAAGATAAAGTGAGAGTGGTATCAAAGGTCATTGAAAAAATGAAACCGGTTACATCACAGGTTTAACTAGGCTACCTAAATAAAATGTAAATCACGGTACCGTAGTTAAACAGGCTAAACCTACTTCAGTAATATATGCCTTAAAATAATATTTTATGCACTTTGTTGTATGAGTAAACATCTACATTATCTATGTTAGCCTAATCTTATAATATTCCTACCTATAATTAATTTTTATTTGTATTTTTAAACATAAACGGCAAACACCATTTTACAATTGGGTTTTAACAAGATAATCAATATTAAGATTAGAAGATATCACAAATAACACAATTAATTGTGACAGTTAATTTAAGTATTACAGTAAAATGTTAAAGAAAACATTTAAACACAATTTAATGAGAGTAGGTCTAGCATAAAATATAAACTTTTACAGAGCAATAAAAACCTAACTTAAATTAATTTTGTTACATTAATCGGGTTTGAAAACTGTGATTAATGTAACAAAATTAATTTAAGTTAGACACATACCTACAAATCTGGACTGATAAACTGGAATTTGAGCTATCTCGATCATTAAACAAAGATACAAGACGCATTTTTTTTGTCACTTTCACAACTTCAATTTGCTATAAGTTTCCGCAATGCATTGATTATATAGTAATCATTGACTATAGGCTATACTATAAGGTATAGCTAAAGGGGCTAAACATGTCATCTTAGTCAATGATGATTATGTAGTTTTGTACCGGTATCCATACCCTATACAATTTTACTAGCCTTTAAATTATTTTGGACTAGTTGTGATCTGCAAATTGTGTAAATTGCACACGGCAACAAATGCGTTACAGCATTCGGTGGTACTCTATGTGTAATTAATTACCTCTATCAACTGTGTCTTAAGTTGATTTTTTAAAGTGGGAAATAAAAGTGAGGTGGAGAATTTTGGAATTTTTTGGCCACGAGCCTTATGCCACTGTGCGTATTAAACTCGTCACAAGGGAATTTGAAACCGAGTTGCTAACTGTTTGCGAATTTATGGGCTCCGGATGGGCAAGATAATTAACTCGTCCTCGTGTACAAGAGACGATAAACACGGCGGTTTATGAGTGGAATGTCGCGGGGTTGGACGACTGCCCGGTGCCCGTACGGCGCTCCCACGACGTGCCCGGTGCCCGCCGTGATGGGCAATCACGCCGACGTTGCATTCTGCCTTATCGACCGTTATCGACCCACGAGCCGAGCAATGCGATCTACGCTTTATGCGTTTGTTGAACCGCACATGCTGATGATTTGCGACGGTATGCGCTTTGACGGCAGATGTAGAAATGGAGCGTACGTGATGTTGTGTAATGTACACGAGTTAAAGTGTGATTGGAATGTTTGGTCTGGAGTGTACGTGCGATCGTAATCTGCAGTACGCTGTACGATATGCAGTTATAAAATGGTAACGGGTGGGTAGTTATGTTCAATGAGTTATTGTTGTTAACTGTATTTTTGCATTTGACGTTGTTAAAAGGCTAACTCAGGTAACGTTCCCAGACATCTCTATAAACACCAGGGTGGTAGGTAGGGAATCTTGCCCACTCATTATCAATTATCGACTATCGTAATTAATTTCCGTCAATCCGTCGTCCCGTCTTCTTAAATTTTAGTAGGCCTATAGGCCTACTGTACGAGGATTATCGTATAGGTCTAGTAGGCCTACTTGTAACTTAACAGTCATCTTTAGCTGATCCAAGGATGGCAAAAAATGGATGTTCCACGTTTCAATAGTTTAATCCACAACCACCACGAATCAAATACCCCCGCCGCAGCAAACCTGCAGACTAAGCGAATTTCCATCTACATGGCTGGAATTCCACTTAGTTATTCCCTTAAAATTGTCAGATTTATTTCCTATTTAAATATCATTAATATTAATGAGTACTTAGGTTTGCTGCTACAGGGAAGAAAAAGGGGGTTTTTATTGAAATATTAAAAGCTTAGTATGAAATAGGCCTAAACAAAATTTCAAAATTTCATTAAAATATGTCCATAGACAAGCAAGCTACAATACTGTATTTATTCTCCATAAGAATAACATGGTAATTTTAAATTTACACTATTTTGCGATTTTTCCGTAACCGTTAGACATGCAACAATGCTTCAATATACTAAATTATTTGGTTTTGAGCTCTACAAAATGGTTTGGAAAGAAATTGCAAAATTTTATGTTTTCAGGGTGAAAAATTAGAAAAACCCATTTTTACCCCATAAAATCCCCCATAAACCCCTGTTCCCAAAGTCCGATCATGCTGGTTCGCGAACTCGTTCGAATAAATGTAGTTTTACACGTTTATACCAAATTTCATCAAAATCGGACCATTTTTGCTCGAGTTATCGCGCTAGCCGGACACACGCACATATATATGAATTTGAACGGAT